GGGGGCAGCCTCAGGTGCTGGCCCAGGGCCCATCCCTGGGGCCACTTCCATGGGCCCGGACTTCAGGGAGGGCTTGGGGAGCTCCTCCCTGCCTCAGGCTCCGTTCCCGAGCTGCTCTGGCCGCCTCCCACCCTGCAGGGTGCAGGACACGTCCTGCCCTGCAACCCAACACTCTCCTGGATTCTTCCTCTGCACTTGTGCTGAGACAGAAAAAGGAGCTCACCTGGGAGAGCTCTCTCAGGTACACATTGCCTTCTTGGCTTTTGGCAAACATTAAGATGAATGTTATAGGTATGAGGGCAGAAAACTTCGGTTTATTAATATAGTTCCTTTTGTTTCTGTTATTGCTGAAACTTAGAAATAGTGGTATAATATATAGATATGTTGAGCTATGGCACAGCATTAAAACAAAAACTGCTTTTGTTTCTATAAGCCAAAGACTGAAAAAGATGGTCAGAGACCCCCCTCCATTCTTAAATTCTTTTATCCAGATGAGGACAGCAGTGACCAGAGCTCCGGGGGAGGGATTTATTATTAATTAACATTTCTGTTATCAGGGAATGTGAAACTCCGTGCAGCCATGGTGATTGATTTATTGGGAAGGGGGCGAGTCAAAAGCTAAACAAAGAAACATCCAGAACTTCACGTGAATGTTTGAATCGTGGATGAGAATTGATGAATATGCAGTAAAGTTGTGTTTTTAAGGGACAATCCTTTGTCAGTGAGGTGAGCTCTCTTGGCTGAATGCAGAGACACCCGGCCGTACCTGAACACTTTATTTTCATCTCCTAATTGTCTTTTCATTGAACTTTTAAATTCGATATAAAAACATATGAAGCTCGTTGTTGTCAGAGGGAAGCTCAGGGAGGTTTTCCAGGCTCCCCTCCCTCGGGGGAGCCTTTGCTGGGCAGAGCAGCCTCCGGGCACCGCGCGGCTCCCGCTGCAGCTGCCCAGCTCCTCTCACCTTTTGTTTCTCCACTCGGGCTGTTGGGGAGGATGGAACGGGGAAACCTTACGAATGTGAGTGTTTGGCAAAAGATTCTGAAAATATGAAGCCTAGGATGGAAATTGTGAAAAACGAGGTTCACTTAATTTTTATAGAATTTAAAAGTTGAATAAAAAAGACAATTAGGAGAAAAAAATAAGTATACAGATATGGCCAGGTGTCTCTGCATTCAGCCGAGAGAGCTCACCTCACTGACAAAGGATTGGCCCTTAAAAACAGAATCCTACTACATATCCATAAATTCTCATACATATTCAGACATTCTTCTTAGAATCTTTGGTGGTGTTCTGTTTAGTTTTCTCTTGCCCCCTTCCCAATAGATCAATCTTCTTGGTGCCATCGAGATTTATATTCCCTGATACCAGAAATGCAATAAATTCCACCCCCAGAGCTCTGGTCACTGCTGTCTTCATCTGGATAAGATAGTTCACAGAAGGAAAAAGAAAGGGTCTCTGACCATCTTTTTCAGTCTTTGGGTTATACAGACAAAAGTAGTTTTTGTTTTAATGCTATGTCATAGCTTAACATATGTGTATTATACCACTATTTCTAAGCTTCATCAGTAACAGAAATAAAGAAAACTATATTAATACAACAAGAATTTCCATTCTTATACACATAACATTCATTTTAATATTTGCAAAAAGCCAACAATATGATATGTATCTATAAGAGAAATAGAAATGAGAGCTGGCTTTGAGTGACGGGATGCTGAGTGCCAGTTATAAATATCCGAAGAACAACAGCTTAGGCAGCTGAAGGAGAATCCCTGTTGATGAAACAATGTCCTCCTGCTGAGAGAGAATCCAAAGGTCGAGCAGCAAGAGAAGAATTTGGAAAGCTTTTAGAGTTTGAAATGTAACTCCGGATGGTGACGTAGCAGTTCCTATGGGCTGTATGGAAATTCTTTAGTGGCTGTGTCTCGTAGTGATCGGGAATTCGAATATTCCCGATAGAAAAGGATATCATGAGTTGTAACAAGAACTTGGCTCTCTCGTGCTCTGTCTCGCTCTGCTCTTGTTCTCCGAGCTCTCTTGGACCTCTCCTCTCTTCTCTCTCCCCCCTCTCTGCAGCTTCTCTCCCGCAGCTCTCTCGAGGCTCTCTTCTCCTCCCTCTCTCCTCAGCCTCCCTTGCTCTCCCCGCTCTCTTCCTCCTCTTCTCCCCTCTCTCTTTAACCTCTCTCCCCTGGCTCTTCAGCTCTCCCCTCTCCTGTCTCTCTGTCCCTGCCCACGCGTGCCCGGGGCTGCCGCTGGATCCGCCTCTGTCGCTCCCTCTCCCCAAATAAGAAATTGCTTTGACCTGAGCAGCTTCAGCCTGGAGAAGTCTCTCCCCGGGAGTGTTTTGTCCATCTCGATCCGGGCTCTGCTCGCCTCTGCCCTTCCAGCTGCTGCCGAGGCTCCTGCCCCAGCGCATTTCAGCGGCCGCAGGGTGAGCGGGACAAGTTTCCTCAGCGGGGCTTTGGGGAGGAGCCGCTTTTCCATCGCTGCCTGCGCTGCCTTGGAGCTGCTCCGCTCTGTTGGGACGGGCTCGGCTGTCGGAGCAGCCCCGGCCCCGGGAGCCGCGGGGTTCTTTCTTTGCCTCCTTTTCCCGATCTATATATCTATATAATTATGTTATTAACAGCTCAGAGCCCGAGTGGGAATGAGTTATAAATGTTCTATTGAGAATTGAGATTTATTTTATTTTATTTTAGTATTTTATTTTTTAAATTTTTATTTTATTTTAGTTCATTTCATTTTAGTTCATTTCATTTTACTTAATTTAATTTAATTTAATTTAATTTATTTTATTTATTGTGAATTGAGATTTATTTATTTATAACTTTTATTTTCCATTTATTTATTTATATTTTAATTTTTACTTATTTATGTCTTGAGGATTGAGTTTTATTTATGTATTTATGTATTTGCTGCTTCATTTATTTTATTTTTTTATTTAATTTTTTTATTTTTATTTATTTTAATCTATGTTTATTTATTCACTTTAACATTTATTTATTTTTTTATTTAATCAATCAATTTCATTAATTAATTTGTTGAGAATATTGAGTTTATTTATTTTTTTTTTATTGAGAATAAAGAATAAAAATTCCTCCAGGCACGAAGAGTCACAGTTTTTGCTGCAGAGTCTCGTAGATGTTGCTGAGCTCCCAGGGCTGCCCGTGCGGCCCCAGCAGCTCCGAGTAGGTGGCCTGAGGATCCTCGGCCGGGGGGGCCCTGTGGGGATCAGGGGATGTGAGCAGGGGGCTGGGGGTGCTGGGGGGTCGGGCAGGGGGTTCGGCGTGGCCGGAGCCCGCGCTCACCTTGGCTGCTGCTTCCCGGCACCTGCAAAGGAAAACTGCAGCGGTGACTTTGGGCTCCCAGGGCTCCCCAGCCCCCCTGGGCAATCCCGATCCCTCCAACCCCCCGGGTGCCCCCGGGATCCCGCATGCCCCCGGAAAGGCCCTGAAGCACCGCACTTCCCCCGGCACCCTGAGCCCCCGGAACACCGAGCCTGGCGGGGAGGGGGAGCCTCCGAATTGCCCCCAAAAGCCCTGAGAGAGCCCCCAAGATCCCTGAGAGAGCCCCCAAGATCCCTGAGAGAGCCCCCAAGATCCCTGAGACAGCCCCCAAGATCCCTGAGACAGCCCCCAAGATCCCTGAGACAGCCCCCAAGATCCCTGAGAGAGCCCCCAAGATCCCGGCACGAGCCCCCAGCCCCTCCCCGGCCAGCCCAGGCCGCTGAGCCGAGGCCAGCGGGGGCTCGGCCCCTC